TAAGTATATATATATAGTACTAGCCTAGACTATAGACTTACTTAGACTATATTCGTAGTCTATAGTCCTCTATAGTCTATTCCTTAGTTACGTAGTATAGCCTCGTTCTCTATCGGCTAACTTCCTCGTTTCCCTCGAGTATAGGCGGCTTATCCTTAGCGACCCTTCTAGTAACCTAGTTCGTAATACTATTCCCTCCTCTCTCTATTCGTTATCCTTAACGTATATAAGGTAAGTATCGTCCGCTAGAGGCGGTCTATTCTTCGTCTTTCCTTTCTATAGCTAATTATACCTTCTAAGGCCTCTCTCTCTAAGCCCGAATAACTCCGACGTCTTACTACTAAAATTAAACTTTCCGGTTTTAGTTTCGAAGCTATAGCTTCTTACCCTTAGTACGTTAAGGCGTATAAAGTATATATCGTTCGCGAGGATTACTCTCGTTGTTCCGTCTATATACGGAAGAATATTATATATAGTAGTATATTTTCGGATACCGAATTCGATTATCTTAAAAATAAAAAATATAAACTACGCGAAAAGAACGAGAAGTTACGCTAGGAGCTAGCTAGCCTAGCTCGCTATATCCTCACCGCTTAAATCGAGTAATCTAAGGTAGAAGCTTAGCTCGAGAAGATTACTAAGAAATAAAGTAAAATAGTTAATCGAGAAGTACGACTTCTCGAGGAATTAGTAGACGACGATTCCGGCGAGTTTAATTTTATCGTAATAACCGATAACTTTCTAATAAAAGAACCTTTCTAGCTAGATTACGCCGCTAGTAATACTAGATAATAAGTTTCGGGTTAAGGTTTATCTCTAGTTCCTAGGTATTCTCCTATTCCGGGTATTCTAACTATTTAACTAGGTATTTCGCTTAGCGGCCTCTCCGCCTATATTAAAGTATAGTTTCTATATCGTAATAGAGTTCTTAGGTTTCTTTATCGATATATACTAGTCCTAGTCTAGCTCCTTCTAGTACCCTCTTTAATAGTAATTTATAGAATACTAGGTATATATTTAGTCCTCCTAGTAATTATAGCTTATAAGAGACTAGTTCTAGTATTTTCTTAATTCGGTATAGACTAATTTTCGTATAATCTAGTTTTTTACTTAGTCTTTATATTTTTATATTTTTTATATTAACGTAAACTATCTCTCCCTCCTAGAAGTCTAGTCCTTTAGATCTTTTTTTATTTACTATTTTTATAGTTATTTTTAATATTTTATTTAACTTTATCTTTAGTAGAAAGTATAACTTATATAAGTCTTCGACTTTTATCCTTACCCTTTCCGCTATAGGTCTATCGCCTAACGGTTCTTTCTTAAAGTCTAGGTATCTCTTATAGTTCGTAAAGAACGGCGATATTCCGGTTACCGATATAT